TGTGCGGTAGGCTGGCGTCGAGCCCTGCTGGGTCACCTGACTAAGAGCTTTGGCTCAGCCTGCAGATAGTAGGGGGCGGGGCCTCACTCAGGCTCCGCCCCCTGCGGGGTGTGGCCAACGCTTTGCCAAGGCCACATGGCCAGAGGCTCCGTCTGGACTGTGGCTGTTGGTTCTGTGGCTTCCATGCGGGGCTAGCCTGGACCTAAAGGGCTGCGCCTCAAAGGGATCTCTCTGCAGGGTGCCACCCTTGGTTATTCTCCCCTATGCCGTGCAGTGTCACCCCCAGTCTGCCCAGCCTCCACCTCTCCTGCTCTGTGCCCTGCCTGCCCTTGCTCCATCCCTGCTCTGCCGTCTCCCAGTGGACAGTGGCAGGGCAAATGCAGCAAGGCAGCCCCGCTGCTTTGCTTGCCGCAGCCACGTTGCTCCACTCCTGCTATGGAGTGTGGGGCAGTCGCGCCCCGGGCCCGGGAGCAGCGGCTGGGAGAGTGAAGCAGCAAGTTGGGGGGAAGGGAGGGGCACACAAAATCATAATCCAGTTGGGGGCGATGGAGCAGGAGTGAGGCCCTGTCATGTACTGTAGGTGGGTTGTGTGAGAGCTGACGTTTGGGACTCAGGCACAGCTCCGTGGTTCTATGCTTCGTGGGGCAAAGTGGGGAGGGCTCCTGAGCCAAAGGTCAGTAGACTTTGCACTCCCATAGCCTCCGCCCTCCAGGGAGCCCACAGCACGGTACATGTACCCTAGCGTTCCCCAGGAAGCAGGCTGTGCCCCATCTTTCAGATGGGGAAACTGAGGCACATAACGACTGCGACCATTTAAAAACAACCTGGTCTTGAGGTCGGGGCGTGGCCAAGGCGGGGCCTGGGCGGGACAGGGCGCGGCTAAGGGAGGAGTCTGGGCGGGATAGGGGCGTGGCCAGGCGCGGGGGCGGGTCTGCCGGCTAGGGGAGGGCGCGGCGGCGGCAGCCTGATCCCGCGGGAGGAAGCGGCGCCCGGAGCTGGCACCATGAACCGCTTCAAGGCGTCCCGGTTCCGGCACGCGGCGGTCAAGCCGGCCCGCAAGGAGGTGAGTCCGGCTCCGCCTGCCGCGGGGGGGCGCGCTTCCCCCACCCGGCCCGGGGGCTCCCCACCCCCTGCCCTGGGCACCCCCAGCCCGGCTGCAGCCTTCAACACTGCTCCCCCAGCCCGGCCCCGGGGACCCTGCTCCCCTTGCCCTGCCCCCGGCACCCCATGTCCCTTCTTCCCCCACCCTGGGGGCCCCGCTCCCTGGCCCCGGGGAAGCAGGGGAAAGCCCTGGGGTTGGCCCGCTTCCCCAGCCCTGCTCTGGGGCCCTGCCTTGGCCCGCGTGGCTCTTCCCGTAGAGCCCTTTGCTCATGCTCCCGGGTGCTGGGCAGAGCTGGGTTCTGCCATGTGACGGGCTCTAACACCCCATGATCCCAGGCTGGGCTGGGTGACCCCCCCAACCTCTAGCCCCCTCCCTGCCCATGCAGCCTGGGGTGCAGGGGACAACATCTCTCCCTTAGATTCCTCACTCCCAGCAGCCTGTGGCTGGGATGGGCTCGGGGGTCAGAGTCTGTCTGCTCCAGGTCCAGTGGAAGTCGAAGGCTCTGCCCCCAGCGTGCCCTGGCCAGGTACAGCGAGGGACTGGCCCCTCGGTGCTGCAGCGGGGGGACTTCCCCTGACAGCCTAGGCACTCCAGTGCTTCTGCTGCCCACATCCGGGGCTCTGCTGGGCACCTTTCCCAGGCTTTATTTGCGCTCGGGCCATCTGCCTGCTGCCTTGTTCTGCACCATCTTCAACTGGTCAGAAATCAGAGACCAGCCCCCGTCGCATTAGCCGGTGCCTGGGCACAAGGGGCAGCTTTATTGTTGGGTGATAAGATCTAACTGGCAGCCACGGTGCAGCTGACTGGAAAAGGGTTGCTACTGACTTAGTTGCTACCCAGGTTGCCTGGTTGGCACCTGTCTGTTGGCTACAAAGACTGTCGTCTCCCTGGGTTGGATCTTGGGGTTCTCTGCCTAGTTGTAGGTGTTCTCCCTGGAAATTTTTTTGGGGGGTGCCACTGTCCAGCGGCTTTGAAATGCTGAGCGCCCACAGTGTGCAGCCCCGGCGGGTTTCTCGCAGCGGGGTTTGCAACTGTTTCCAGTGTTGGTTTTTGTATCACAAGATGTTCTCAGCACTTCCGCTCTCTCTTCCTCTCTGGGCTTGTGCAAAGGGCTTCTCTCTACCGAGCAATGGGCCGCTTAACATGCTAGGAAAGGAAAATGTCTCAACATGCCCCGTGCTAGCGTGGCAGAAACGGGCTTTGTGCAGGCATGTGCTGCCAGTGATCTCGAGCAGGTGGCGAGAACGCTGCCTTCGGGCTCGGGCAGCGTCTCTCGGCGCAAACTGCGGCGTGGGGGTGTCGGGCTCGGGCAGCGTCTCTCGGCGCAAACTGCGGCGTGGGGGTGTCGGGCTCGGGCAGCGTCTCTCGGCTCAAACTGCGGCACAGGGGTGTTGGGCTTGGAATGCAACCGGCTAGCCATGCCGATGTCCGCCCGGCGGCAAACGTCTGCGTCAGGAAGCAGAGGAGCAAAGGTGCCTGGACTAGGACCGTATGCTGCAGCCTCTTGGCGTGTGTTGAGTGGCCTAAGCAGCTTCTGTGAGCTGGCTTGTGCAGACGAGGGCTGGGGATCAGGCCCTTGGTTTGAAGGCATGCTGCCCAATTTCTGCACCTACCCAACTAGTCCCTGCGCCTGGGGAGTGGCAGATGCTCGGTGTCACTTTCACATTTCCCCCCTCGGGTGAGTGTAAATTTGCGGCCATTGAAGGCAAAAGGAAATCTATTGGTGCCACGTTACTTCCCGGCCTTGCCGCTGTGGTACCAGGAGACTGCCACGCCAGTTCTGTGCCCCTGAGTGGCGCAGAGCGGAGCTGCGCAGTCCCGTGATGCTGTAGATAGCCATGAGCGTGCAGACTTGTGGCTGGCTGGCTGCGGTAGTGTGCATACTGTGTGCAAGCATGAATGACTGCATTAAAACGATGCACCTATGTAGTGCCCAAGTGAACTGTGACTCTCTGCCATGCTACGGAGACGCACCGCCCTGCACGTCTATAGCAGCAAGCTTCTGGGGGCTCAGAGGGCTGCATAGACCATTCACCCCAGTTCCCCCGAGGGGCGGGTGGATCCCTGTGTGAGATTTTCATACTGTCTCGCCTAAAGTTAAGCTCTGGGGTCCATATGGAGGCATCTAAGTATTGTTTCAGTGCTCAGTGGGTCCCACTGTCTCCTCTCCAAATGAGAGTATCTCCCAGCACGGTGTCAGACGTCTGTATCTCTGCTTGGCAGCAGTTTTGTTTCCTTTCATTTTCCCCGCCCCCCACACTCACCCCTGCCCCCTTCCACAACTTGCTGTGAAAACAGGCTGCAGAGTTTTTCTTCTGTCTTCTCCTGGATCGCTGAAAGGTCTTCACTTCTGTTTTGAGCTGTTGTAGGGCGCCGTTGTGCACTGCAGCTCACCCCAGAGCTGGCTGCTTTTCTGAGAGTTAGTAATAAAAGGGAAGTGCTCCTTCTCCAGGGCGCTTGGAAAGGGAAGGTGCTACGCAGCTTGTCAGGGCTTTTGTGGAGAGCAGTGTAATTACACGTGGTACTTTGCAGCCACGTTGGACAGCGTCTCTGCTTCCAGGGGCTCCCGCTTCAGCGGAGAGAGCTCACCAGACGCCCTGGCTAACTTAGAGCATCTGCCTCCCTTCACAGAGGCATGGCTGGATCTGGTGTGTTGTGCAGCAGAATTGACCAGCTTTAAACATGTAGCAGGGTGCCAGGGGTGGTCAGAACTCACAGGGAGTGGGGAGTTTGTTTGGGGGGAAAGGGGCGTGCACACTATCCAGGCAGGGGAGAGGTGAGTGAATGGGGTCCCTGCGGGTGGGCAAGGTACTGAGTGTTTTGGTTACCAGTCTGAGTGAGGATCTGGTTACCCAGCTGGTCGGGGGAACGGTGCCTCTCCCCAGGCTAACCCCCTGTGCTCTACCTGGTCCTGCCGCAAAGACCTTGCCTTGAATTATGGCTCCTCCTTTCCCCTGGGGGGTGGAGTGCTGAGCTCGAGTGGTACTGAAGGCCACCCGAGATCAGACCCCGCAGGACTGAAGGCAGCTCGGGCTCTGCTGAGAAAAGCTGGCTGGGGGTTCCACAAATACCTATGGAGAGCCAGGGAGGATGAGCTGGTGGGGGTGAGGCTGGGGCCCCTGCAGCGCACCCCTGGGGGCCAGCCGGGGGGGTTCAGGGAGCTTGGCTCACTGGGGAGGTCACCGATTCAAGGCCGAGCACATTGGGAGGAAAATCCGTCGTCTGCGATCGTTGTGTGCTGGCCACTGTTGTGGGCGCCTGGCAGAGCGGCGCGGGGTGCGCTGGTTCTGCAGGAGAACCCAGGGGCAACGGCCCTGTCACAGCAGCTCCTTGCACTCCCAGTCGGCTCTTGGCTTGGTGCTTCGCTGCCTCACGCGCTGGCCCGTTGAGGCTTCCCTTGCGTGGCTGGAATGGGACTGGCAAGGACTAAGCTTCTCCCCTTCAGTGGGCTGACTTTCCATATTCAGATTAACCAATGGCTCGTTTCAGAGCCCTGGTGGGAGCCGAGCTGCCTGTTGAACAGCAGTGGGTGTAAAAGTCCCCTCCGGCCGGCAGGCGCTGTGGGAGCCGGGCCGCCAGGGCCCCCGGGGTCCCCATCCTGGGCTGGGCCAGCTCCTGGCAGCCAGCGAGTCCCAGCCTCTCCCAGGATGCTCGTGGCTTGGTTTAGAGCAGCATCTCGTTCTTCATTCTGCAGCCCAGCGTGCCCCCGAGTGCCTGCTGGGCTTACAAGAAGCACCTGGGATCTTTTTCAGGGAGATAAGGCAACACGCCACGTTTATCGAACATACCTAGATCAATCAATACTTATCATGTGCATATGACACATGACACTCATGCACTCGCACACACACACGCAAGCACGTTCCATCTTGTTGTTACAAAAAGTTGCTCCCCCTCACTGCACCGGCCAGGTGAGTTAGATGGGGGAGGGGTGGAGCCGGGCTTCTGCTGATCCGGATCGATGCGCCCATGTTGACAAGACGAAAACCCGGGGTCCTTCTCCAAGATGCCTCCTATTTATCCCTCTCATGCAGCCAATTAATCATCACCTCGCCTTTCCTAATGCTGCTTCAGAGAGAGTTCTTCCAAGGGCAGGCGCTTGCTGCTGGACTCCCAAGGCCTCTGTCTGTCCAGTCTCCTTAATGAGCTCACTGCACAGGTATTGTCTTGGGTCTGGCTCCCAGACCTTCTCCACCCTGGCACCTGCTGCTGGAGGAGCTCCCCTTCCATTCTCCATTCACACCTCAGTCACTTCAACAGGGCAATCCAGGAAAGGGAAGAGCTCAAAAGACATTTTTTTTTTTTTTCTTACAAGGAAAATTTCTCTTAATACAAGAGGCAGCAGGTGGGCACGCCTGTCACGGTCTGTATTTGTGTCCTTGGTCTCTCCCGGCGGCAGTTCCAGTCAGAGCAGGGTGCAGAAAAGTGTGTTTGCGATGAGCCTCTTCCCCTGTTGTGTGGCTAATTCCCTTGGGGGTGTCTGAAATTCTGCCAAGTCTCCTCCGGTTCTGGCTGATCTAAATCCTTGTCTCCCGCGGCTATTGCTGCCTCACCGTTCGCGCCCTTTGCTGGCTCCAGCCACGTTCTTCCCGTGGAGAACAGGGATGTGAAAATGCATTGAATAGTAATTGGAGTAACCGCTGAAAATTCCAGCAGTTGCCTGGTTCCACGCGGGAGATGGGCTATGCCCCGGGCTGTTGAGCCGGCTCCCCGCATGTCCTGGGAGCCAGTGTGTAACCGTGCAGGGTAACCACATACATGGCTACACTGTCCCATCCCTAGCTGGGAATGGCATTCCCAAGTCATCACCTGCATCCCTCTTAGCCCCCGGGGCTCGCATCCCAGGAGGCGCATTTCTTCATCTGGTCGCTCAAAGGTGACGCTTGTCACTCGCTAGCCTTTACATGCAGCTAGCCTCGTAAGAGCAGATGAGGAAAATCGGCCAGCCCGCGACAGCAGGGTGTGATCTGGCAAGCGCCTTTCGTATGTGCTAAATTCCTTCCTCCCCTCAGGATCTGTTCCCTTCCCCTGCCAGCCGGCGGCCTCCTATCTCGCACGCTGTTGACAGCGTTGGCTCGAGCTGCAGTAACTAGGGAGGGCCTGCGCCCACGCCTTGCTGCTGAATGGCAAGGGATTGATAAACTCTCGCGGGACTAGAAATATTTCTTGGTGGCTTTTGTCTGGGAACCCTCTCCAGACCCTAGCATTGCGTGCGCACAAGGCCCTCGGCGGC